AAAAGAAAAGAAAAGAAAAAGTAAAACAATTAAAGGAAGAAAAGGTCCTGGTGTAGATGCTTAGAAGTTGGTGGTGCAACATTTGCCTAGCTGAGGAGATTGATGAGTTCTATTTGGGACATGCTAAGGGGGAGAAGCCTTGTGGAAGTGTATATCTGCCAGGCCACAGCGGAGGCTCTACACTGCATTCTGCCTTGTACCATTCACGGGCTGCTTTGGTCCTCAGTGGATCTCCAAAGGAGAGGAGCACACGTCAGAATCTTCAGAAAGGGCGTGTGTGTGTATGTGTGTGTGCGTGCATGTACGTACATGTGTGGGGAGGTGGGAGGAGATAATTTGAAAACTCTTCTCTGGGCCAGATGCAGTGGTTCACGCCTGTAATCTTAGCACTCTGGGAGGCTGAGGTGGGTGGATTGCTTGAGGTCAGGAATTTGAGACCAGCCTGAGCAAGAGTGAGACCCTGTCTCTAAAAATAGCCAGGTGTTGTGGTGGGTGCAGAAGTTCCCAACTACTCAGAAGGCTGAGGCAAAAGAATCAGTTGAGCCCAAGAGTTTGAGGGTGCTGTGAGCTATGACACCATAGCACTCTACCAAGGGTGACAGTGAGACTGTCTCAAAAAAGAAAAAAAGAAAAAGAAAACTCTGGAGATAAATGTATTGCTTGGGGTGTGGTGAGGGGGGAAGCTGTCTCCCCACCTCCCTCATTAGGAATCATTGGCTTCCACTGGAATGGAAGGCAGATCAGTCATTAGATCAATCAATCAAATCATGTACTTTTTAAAATTTTTTTGAGATAGAGTCTTATTCTGTCACCCTGGGTAGAGTGCTCTGGTATCATCATAGCTCACAGTGACCTCAGACTCTTGGACTCCAGAGATCCTCTTGTCTCAGTTTTTTCTATTTTTAGTAGAGACAGGCTTGCTCAGGCTGGTGTGGAACTCCTGAGCTCAAGTGATCAGCCCACCTTGGCCTCCCAGAGTGCTAAGATTACAGGCACGAGCCACCGCACCTGCCCATATACAATTTTTTAAGAGGTAGGGTCTCACTATGTAGCCCAAGCTGCAGTGCAGTGGCTTTTCTCAGGTGCCATCATAGTTTGCTGTAGCCAAGGATTCCTGGACTCAAGCAATCCTCCTGACTCAGCCTCCAGAGTAGCTGGGTTTAACACCATGCCCAGCTAATTTATTTGCTCTTTTGAATTTGGAGGCCTGGTTCTGGGTGCTGGGAAGATAAGAGGAGAGAATAAGACACTGTCAGACAAGACACTCTCTAATCTCTCATCTCATAGGGTTCATGGTCAACTTGGAGAGATCCTATCTACTCACCCAAAATAACCATATTATGATAAGAGCCAAAAGTAGATAGGGTCAGTCATTTCATTCCAGTTCACAGGGGGCTGAGCATCTCATGAGCTTGGGGGAAAGTGGATCACCATTTAAGGGCTTCACGGAAGGGGATAGGGACTCAGCTGGGCCCTTGAGGAGAGGCTGTCCTGAGCTCCCCCATGATCTTGACATTAAATGGGCAAACACATTTTAACTTGGAGAACATCTTACTGCAGGGACCAGCTAAGTGGGTCCCCATGAGGTGGCTAGGTCAGGACAGACCACAGGTCAGACCACAGGGTCTGTCTAGGCTTCTCCACCCCACTCTGCAGCCTCAGTACAGGAAGTCACACTATACTTTAAAGCCTCTCCTGGCGGAAGCTGTGGGGGAGTTGCAGGGGTGCTGTGCCACCCCCTCAACTGTCTCTCCACAGGCACCCATGGCTTCCTGCCCTTCATCTTCTCCAGGCTGGGGTCTGGGCTCCAGAGCTCACCTCCTGTTTCTGCTAGTTTGCTGCATGACTGCAGGTGCCAAGACTGGGCTCCCTGCCTCCCTCCCTCCCACTGTTGGGGGGCCTGAGAGCCCTGGCTCTTAAGGGTCAGACAGGGCTGGCCTGGAGCACTCTATGGGCCATGAGAGGCCTGGGAAACAGTGCTGGGCCCTTGTGACATCCCTCTTGCCTGCTCTCTCATTCCTGGAAGTGGGTGTTCAGGGCTCCTGAGCTTTTCCTGTCCTGTCAGTGGGCTTGGGGGAGGAGCTATGGAGACCCAGAACTGACCTTATTTCCTAAGGATTGTCTGTAGACCCCAGGGAGGCCCTCAAACCAGCCAGGCTGTGGGAATGTAGTGAACCCAGGGTGGGAGGGTGGCCTTGGTTTGCTTCCTGCTGGAACTGGGGAGCGCTGGGGACTGGAGGGAGAGCCCAAGGAAGGGTTTAGCCCTGGGAGACGTGCTGAACCAGGAGGAGGAGCCAGGATGGTTCTAAAGGAAGGATGCTGGAGGTGGGGGAGGGCAGGAGGAGCTGAGGGACCCTTAGGGAGGGGTGGGTACTGACTTGTTGGGCGGAAGCCGGGTTAAGGGAGACTTCCCTTTGGGATGGAGTAGGGAAAAGGAGGCATTTCCCGAAATATGTGGGCCAAGTGGGACGGGACCCATGTTCTTGGCCTGGCTCTTTAAACGGGGCTCTGAAGAGGGGATGGAGGGAAGGATTAGCCCATAGGAGGGAGGAAGGGCTCAGACGGGGTCCCACTGTTGGCTGATCCCTTCTGCCTTTTTGCTGACTCATGACCCTTGAGGAGCTGGGGAAGCTGCTAGTTCCCTCTCCCCTCCCCAGATCTCCCTCCCTCTGGCCTGAGTCACTGGGGCGGAGCTGCTGGGAAAAGATTTCCCTTTCCCGGATCTGACTTAACCCCCAAAGTGCTGGAGAGGGAAGGGACCACGTGGCCAGAGAAAGCTTTCCTCCCCACCTCCTTCCAGGAGGGAGGCTTGTCCCTGACTGGTCAGAGACCTCTGATAAGCTCCCTCCAACGCTGTCCTGGGACTGGAACCTCCCCAGTTCTTCCTGACTGTGCCTCTCCTTGTTGGCTTTGCTCCAAGCCCCCTGGAGGGGATTCAAAGTGCCAATGACCTTAGGTGCTCCAAGTTCTTCAGGGAAAGGAACCAATTCTTTCAGGATTGGGATGTTCTTCCCATAATCACCCCAAATCCCAAATCTTCCTGTTGCTTGGAAGCCCCAGTCCTCTGGTGTGTGTGTGTGTGTGTGATGGCATAGGGTTAGCTGGTGTGGGCAAGAGAAGGTCACTGCCCTCAGACAGTGGGGTGGGGGTGGGAGGGTTGCTGCTTATTGTGTGAGCAGCTTCCCACGTTTGTGGCAGATGCTGGGGCTTCTGCACCTGCACAGCTCTCAGCGGATGACAGGGTGAGACCAGCCTGCCTGTCCCTGAAATGTGTTGGTGAGGCTGGGTGGCTGTGGGTGGCCTGGTCTTCCTTTCCTGAGCAGAGGTTTCAGTGATCTGATTAGTCTGTTGCTCCCCAATGTTGAACATACTTTGAGGAAATTCTCTTATTTTTCCATAAAGTGGCTTTTATAGCAGAGGAAAAAAAATGGCTGAGGGAAAACCAGAAACGAAGCTGATAGAAATCAAAGAGCAAAGTCTGAGTTGGAGCTAAATACTGACTCCTGGCTTTGCTTTCCCTGTGTGAAGCCAGAACAGGGCAAGCCATTTAGCTGCTGTGGGCTTGGCCTGAGGCTGTAAAACATGCCTCTAGGACGCCCTGGGTTGCAGAGAGCTTCAGGACTCCCGTGCACAACCTCAACTCTGACCTTGAAGGTCATTTGAGCTAGGTCATAAGCCTCAGCCAGGGTGACCTATCCTGCCTGTGCCCTGTTCTGCCCTCACCTCAACTTTGTCACTTACCTACCCCATCCCACACCCCTGAATGCCCCATTTTACTCCCCTCCCCATTTGTCCCTGCCAGCTGGGGTATGTGTGTAAATTCCATGGTGGAAGGGGATGGGGCACAGAGTGTGAGGGCACGATCCTGAGTAAGGTTTGATACAAATGTGTAAAGAAACTCTTCCTTTTGTTCCTCCTCACTCCCAAGAATGGTGCCCACAGGAACCCCACTCACCTCCACCCCAATCTGAATTTTCCAGAAAGGTTTTTAGTGGTATAACACAATCCAGGGGTGTGCACAGATCCTAGTTGCTTTCCACCATGAGTGTTCACGAAGAGAACACACGGTGAACCCAGAACCCTGGAACCCAGCTCTCAGATGGAGAAACTCTGCCTGAATCTTTAGGGCTGCATGTTGGAAGAAAGGGCCATAATTGAAGTGACCTGCCAGTTTCCAATCAAAGAAATATCCCTTGACCATCCACCACTGTTAGCTGCTGTGGGGAACTCAGAATAAGGACAAATGTAACCCAGGCCTGGGACCCACTAGCCTTGAGTTGAAGGAACAAAAATTAACACACAGGACAAGTAGAGAAGTGAGCCCCAGATCATAAGGTGCCAACTGTCTAAGTTTCAGGGAAGAACTCTTAACATCAGTGAGTAGGGGTAGCCTGAGGAGGGCCTTTCACTAGGAAGGTCATAAGCTGGGGAAGTTTTAGCTCTGCTGCCTCTGGGAGTGCCTCGCTGGGCTGTCTTGATGGTGATGGTGTCCCCTCTGATTCTTTCCCAGGTGTTCCCGACTCTGTTGATGGGAATACACCCCTCAGGGGTCATTGGACTGGTGCCTCTCCTTGGGGACCGGGAGAAGAGAGATAGTCTATGTCCCCAGGGAAAATACAGCCACCCTGAAGATAATACCATTTGCTGTACCAAGTGCCACAAAGGTAGGAGAAAGCGGAGACAGTAAATGTCCGGAGTTACCAGCCTTGACTTGCCCTTTGCTTTTTCCAGTTGTTGTTTTCTAACTTTTCAGCCTCTCTCAGGCTGAGATTCTCTCTCCTTCTTCTCCTAGAGGCTTAGGGGATTGGCTCCGGCTGTTCTTCCCAGTGTGGGGCTCCTTCCCTAAGCACTCTCCTGAGCCTAGCCCTGCTGTCCGGTTCACAGGAACCTACCTATACAAAGACTGCCCATTCCCAGGGCAGGAAACGGACTGCAGGCAGTGTGAAAATGGCACCTTCACTGCTTCAGAGAACCACCTCAGATCCTGCCTCACCTGCTCCCAGTGCCGAAAAGGTGAGTGTGCACCTGGAGTCAGGTGGGTCTTAAGGGGTGTGCGCCTGCCTGTGTGTGAGAGCCTGCAAATCAGCATTGGGTGGGGGGGCAGTGCACACGGGTGTGTGCTACAGATACGGGGAGGAGATGCAGGGAAAAAGTAGGTACAGCAAATATGGAAAGGGGTGCGTAGGACTCATACCCCATCTCCCTCTTCCCCAGAATTGGGACAGGTGGAGATCTCCCCTTGCACTGTGGACCGGGACACCGTGTGTGGCTGCAGGAAGAACCAGTACCGACACTACTGGAGTGACAACCTTTTCCAGTGCTTCGAATGCAAACTCTGCCTCAATGGCACTGTGGTTCTCCCCTGTGAGCACAGCTGTCCCACCAAGCCCTCACTTCACCCCAGGGTGGCCCCTCTCTCGGGAGGGTCTCCTCCTCCATGGGCCAGTATTCCTTTTCCTTCCCATTCCTGCCCCTTACTTCCTCAGCCCTGGGGTGAAGGGCAGGCCTCCTTTAGCTGGGCTGCTCTTTTCCCCCCAGGCCAGGAGAAACAGAACACCGTGTGCACCTGCCACTTTGGATACTACCTAAAAGAAAACGATTGTGTCCCCTGTAGCGAGTGAGTATCTCTACCATCTTCTGGGCCC